AACACATTTGGGTAAAATTTTAAACCAACCTCATTAATAAGTTCTATGTTCCTAGTCTATTATCCAATTAATCAATCATTCTCATACCTTTTTCTCCAATAAATTCATAACATAACCTTTTTTTTTTTTTAAACAGCTATGAACCACTCAAACTTAGTCACATGGGCTAAACATACAAAACGTAAAGATAACTCCAAAAACCATTCCAATTCCAGGTCTAAGATGTTCGAACCATGTAATTATAATTAACTCAACTCAATTGTTTGCAAATCCATCAAGGAAACATTTTATATGTTAAAATTTGTGTCTTCATAAGTCAATCTAATTGATCAAATGATCTTAGACTAATATCAGAAGGTCGAAATTCTCTATAACTTTTTTTTTCTCTCTCTAGATATCATAAAAATCTCGCTAACCAACTCCACATTCTAACAACATTAGAATAGTAAATAGTTCCAAACTAACTTAAAATAATAATAATAATAACTTATATAGACTCCAAATCTTCGTCTGATTCCAACTAGTCTCCCAATATCAACCCAAAAATCACTATTAGAATAATACCACATTTCAATTTCACCAAAATCATATCCACTTTAGCCTAGAAAAGTTCAACTAATTGAAAACTCCAATCTTTGCATTCAACTCCAATTCTTAATGGAAATGTAGAAAAGTCAATGATATAATTCTATGCTTTTATATATATATATATATATATATATAAGGAAACAAGGCTTGGAGGGATTACCTTAATTAAAAGCTAAAGAATGAAGACCCCCTTAACAAGCTCTCAATTCACTTTCTATTTAAGTCAAATTGCAACTTTTCATATTGTGTATAAAACCGCCTTCAAGTAATCTATACCATTCTTAATACTCAACCAAGTTGCAATATAGACAATTTTATGGGAGTGGACTTCCAATACTTCCAAATAACTAAATTCTTTTTTACTAAGAATAAAAAATTCACTATCTTCTAATGGTAATCCTAATTAGCATAAGCTTCATTAATCAAGTCTATAACCAAGATGATGGTGAAGTAATGGATAGCAAGGATGACGAATTCTAAGAGAAGTATCATCTCACATATACTCGATTAGTCACTTACCCCTAATAGGGGTGCCAACATGTAATCTATATTCTAAATTATCAACAAGTTACCGAAAATACATGCAAGACTAATGATGCATTGATGTCCCATTACTATACAGATCCCTACTCTTGCTCACCATGTGTCTAGGCTTAGGACCCTAAACTTGGCCCAAAAGATTTCAACCTAAGCTTTGATACCACAAAATTTATCATGCCCCAACCCATAAGTTTGAGCATAACAAACGCCACACATCTATAGGGTAACCTTATAAATGTGTAAGGCCATCCACCAGTATATCAATACAATCTCCCATAAAGTTCTAATGTAGCCGAACGACTTAAAAATAAACAATTCCATTAACAAATCTTAATAGTCTCCAAATAACAAGATCAAATCCCTTAACCAAAATATAAGGTGATTAACATCTTATTCCATAAAATCAAATAAGCTTCCAATTGAGCTATTGCTAAATTCTTGCTCATTTATTCTAACAATCTCTCAATTCCCATACAAAACCCCATGCTCATACTTCTCTAAAATGAGATGAAATTTTGAAAACGTAAGTTTAAGAACTCTATAAGTAGTATACCCATCCATCTCAACCAATCATAAAAATTTAAAACTAAATTTTTTTATTGAAAATGAAACGATATAAAAATACAATTCTTTCCTCAAAACCAGAATCTTTCATTTTTCGTCCCTTATGGTTGTGTAACAATCCACAATCTATGATCAATGATACTCAATCATCAATCCACAATACACGATCCACAATCCACAATTCACAATCCACAATCCACAATCCACAATCCACAATCCACAATCCACAATTCACAATCCATAGATCTCGGGTCTATCGCAATACCAAGAACTCAACCCTCATAATGGTGAACCATATAGCCAGGACAAACAAAAGAAACTGTTCCAAAAATAACCATTTCAATAATATAGGAGAAAAACAAATTAAATTAGCCACCTCCACGTGGCTACAATTTCATCTCAAACTTAAATAAAAATATTATGCTTGGTTTACAAATCATCTCATTCCATCATTAAAAATATTTAATAAAAAGTCATTCTCTCAAAAATAAATAAATAAATAGATGAATAAATCAAAACTGGACAAACCCATTTAAATCTATCAATTTACTTTGAAAAACACTAGAGGATATAACTACTGACCTTAATAATTATCTCTTAAAATGCAATTTCACACAACTACTTGAAACCTAAATGAACATAAAGAATACATAATTCAATTGCCAAGTAAAAGTTATCCTTTGCTTATCAAGCATCTGCATGATAAAATTCCATAACCATGCCACTGTTGTCCCTTCCTTAAACCCAACCATTCCAACATACACTATTAGAAATTAACGACCTTAATAAATAATTTCTCCCTTGAAAATTCCTCACACCACCCAAATTCACAATTTAAAAATCAATTCCAAAACCAAGAGTAAAATCAATTTCTCAACCCATTTTCTTCATTCCAAATTCCTAAATATTTCAAGTTTTAGAAGGTAATTTACCTTGGATTTTAGTCTAGTATGGCAGATCTCTAGAGCAATTTCCCCTTTGTTGGCGAGGGGAAGAAAACGATCCTACTTCCAAAAAAGAACGCAAAAATTGAAATTGCTAGAACTTGAATCTATTTTGGGTTTCTTTTCAAAAAAGAAATATTGCTACTTAGTCCCTAAGCTATTATTATAAGGTTTAGTCCCTGTGTTCCTCATCTCATTATAATTTTAACTCCATATTTAATCCTATCACATATGCACCCTTCAAGAGCTTAAATAATTTATTTAAATATTAAGAAATAAATCCTTGGGTATTACATCCTCTCCCCCTTAAAAGAGTTTAGTCCTCTAAACTTGGCATACCTTGGACATCAAATAGGTATGGATATCTCTCCTGGGCTTCCTCTTCCAACTCCCATGTTGTCTCTCATTGTGTATGGTTACTCCATTAAATCTTAACATAGGGAATGGTACGCCTTCTCAACACTTGCTCCTTCCTATCAACAATGTGAATTGGATGCTCCTCATAAGACAAATCCCCTCTGAGTTGCAATGGAGAATGCTCAACTACATGGCTAGGGTCCAAAACATATTTCCTTAATATGGAGACATGGAAAACATTATGAACTTCCGAAAAATTAGGTGGCAATGTTAATCTATATGCTACCTTTCCAACTTTCTCCAAAATCTCAAAAAGACCAATGAACTGACTAAGTTTTCCTCAGATCCCAAATCTCATGACTCCTCTAGTTGGTGAAACTTTCAAGCAAAACTTTTCTCCCACTTGAAATTCTAAATCACACCTCCTATTATCAACATAACTCTTTTGCCTACTTTGAGCTATATGAAGATGTTCTCTAATTAGTTGTATCTTTTTTATGGTCTGCAGAACAAGTTCTGATCTTAACATTCTTCTTTCTCTTACATCATCCCAACATATTGGAGACCTACATTTCCTGCCATATAAAGCCTCATAAGGCACCCTCTGGATACTTGTCTGATAACTATTATTGTAGGCAAACTCAACTAAAGGCAAATGTTCATCCCAAGCACCTTTCAAATCTAAGACACAAGCTCTCAACATGTCTATGAACAACTCCCGATATTTCTTTTTCATTTCCTCATTCCTCATCCAACTTTTATGTTGTTTCCCTTCTCATTATGGATACCCTACTACAACTTCACAAGAGTTATGCCATGCCTTCTTTATAATTTCCTCTTCAATCATCCTCCTAAAGTAAAGGTAGTCTCATGGTTTTCTAGATTTTCATAAATAACTTATCAATCAATCATAAGACCTTATGGGTACTAGAAATTAGCCTTTGCATAACAACATAAATTAATCCCACTCCAATTCATGATCATAATTTCTAAACTTTGCTAGTCATAAATCAACCAAAATCATTTACCACTATTCAAAGAAATAATTCATCATAATTTTAAACCTCAAACCTTAATTTCACTAAATCTTGTTCGTTAATTCCTCAAAATCACAAGATAAATTAACTGATCAAGATAATAATTCTTCCTAGTTCTTTATCATATTACTCTACCAGTCTATCTATTGACATGCCAATATTGATGTGAAAAAAATCAGCAAACGTAATCAACCTATTAATGATAACCAAATTCACCATCCTTGAAAGAATTACTACCATAATTCCTGATAAGCACCATTTTAAATCATGTCTCCAACTAATTTTTAGCCTTCAATTGCACATTTTCTTGCAATATATTTAGATTCTTGTGCAATAATTTGTTCTCTTCATCATAGAATATGTGCTTTTGCTTACAAAAGCGTATCCATTTCTCACTTCAATTTATCTTTCTCTTTAATAGCTTGTGATTCCCTTTCTTTGAAAATGAGATGACTTCCAAGGCACGACCTTGGATCCTTTGTTGAATCATATAAAGTATCAATAAATAAGTATTATTTTGCATTCAAATCAAATGATTGTTTTAACATAAATATTGAAATAAAATTTGTAATGACAACTTGATAAATCTAACATATAAAAATATGAACTCTTCATTTCCAAAACTACTTATAGAATTGAAGTTATTCAACTTTATTAATTACAAATTTTAGCATTTAATAGGTCTTATTCGGTTTCTAATTGTATTTTGATTAGATGAAATTACATAATTTTAATTGTCAAATGTTATTTATTTTGAAATTTAGGATTATTATGTACTTTTTTTAACACAAGGGTGGGACTCGAACCCCACACCTCTTACATATATGAGATTGGCCTTATCAATGCATGGGTGGCCACTAGGCCGCCGAGGACTTCTCATGTACTTTTCCTTCTTAATTACATCTACAAATGAAAATTGTATGGCTAAATCTTAATTATATGCACCTTAGGCTAAAAAAGTGACATCCTTAATTAGAAATAAGTTAGAACCAAATTTGCAAATTAATTTATCAATACAATGATAATAAAAATAGCGATGGAGAGAGAGAATGCTAGGTTTCGAGCGAGGATTCCGATAGCCAAGAACAATGGTAGTGGGATCAAGCGGTGGCTTCTAGGATATGGAAACCAGTTTATGGGACAGTTTACTACTTATTTCTTCTATGACTTTCCGGTTGATCGTTCTGCTAAGGATTTGTGGTATGGCTTCTGGTCATTTGAGAAAGTAGCTTATGTATATATTCCAGCACACAAGGATCGACAAGGATCTCACTTTGGTTTTGTTCAAATGGCAGCGGTTTCAGATGTCAAGGTAATGGAAAGGAAATTAAACCAAATTTGGCTTGATTCCTATCGTCTCAAGGTGAAACTGGCAAGCAATATGAAAAGTGGAAGGGAGGGTACATCAATGGGATAGAACAAGAAGTTGGAGAACCAATGGGTTCAAAAGGATAAAATTGTGAGTCCAAGGGTAACATATCCACAGGTGGTGGCTAGTAAAATTGTAGTGGTTAAGGAAGTTAAATCCTCTACTAATGGTTCTAGACAAGAAGAGGAGAAGAAAAGGAAGTTACAGAGTCTGCATTTGATAAGGAAGGTATACAGTTAGAGAAGGCAAAAGGGGCGCCAAAGTTGGTGCTAGAATTTTTTCCCATAGAAGATGAGACTGCATGGCTAAAAAAAAGTATGGTGACGATGGTATGTTCATTGGATATGGTGAAGAAAATCCAGAATAGAATGGATGTTGATGGTTTAATGGTGAATGTTTGCCTGGTTAGGGGGACAACAAGTGGTATTATTGGACAATTCAGAGGGTTGCTTAGAAGAGTTTTTGAATGGTAACAAGGAATTGGTGGAGTCTTGGTTTGAATGGATTTAGCCAAGTTTGTCTCCAATATGTTTTCAAAGAATAGAATGGTTTGGTTGTGTTTTACGGTTGTTCCTTTGAAAGCTTGGAGTGAGAGATGTTTTGTAGAATTAGGTGGCTTGATTGGAGAGGTGATTCTTGTTGACGAAGATACAAGAAGTAAATTGTTCCTATGCGAAGGGAGAGTCTTAATTCTACATAAGGATAAGAGTAAACTCCATTCTATCATAACTCTAATGGTGAATGGGAAGGGTTTTCCAATTATGGTGATGAAGCATGAGTGGCGAGTGGACCCGAATTGGTGGTTGGCTAGTGAACGATGGAGTTCGATGATCTCAGAATCTGGTTCAGAATATTCTGATGACAGTTACGGTGAGGCCGATCTTAATGCTGATGGATGTTTGGGTGATGAGGGAGTGACAGATGCCGAGGATTGCACAGTAATGGACGAGGATTCAAATTGGGTTTTAAGAAGGAATGCAAATTTTGAGGAAGGAGATTCAGTGGATGTATTTGAATCTAGTGGGCTGAAGAAACATGGGCTGGTTGAGGGGGAAGTTAGTTAGGCCTAATGGGGTGGGGCTAGAGGCACAGCGAGTTGGAAGAGGATCTAGAAATGGGCTGGTAAAGGATTAGGCTAGTGTTGGCCAGCAAAAACAGCTATCACCGAGAGGAAAAAAATGTAAAAGCTTCGAGGAGTATATGCAGGGGTAAAAGAAACAGAGAAATCGAGGGAGACGGGAACAAGGTGGGTGACAGCCAGAACTCGATTCAGAAGGGAAAGAAAGGTATGCGAACATCAACCAGAAAATCAGCAACTAGAAAATTAGCAACTAGATTCAGAAGGACAGAATACCAACTTGTTTGATAGATGCAGTCAGAACCAGAATAATATGCTTCACCGCCAATTAGAGCTGGAAGGAGGTCAAGGGGCTGTTTGAGATGGGGCAGAGGTTAAGGATTCAATGTCAACAAAATGAAGATGAGGTGATATGAAGGTTGGTGGCTTTAAAGGAAAAGGATGAAGCTAACTTCAAGGGAGTATAATGTCCGGGAGCGACTTGCTGTAGCTGTTTGTGAGGTTTAATTTATTTTATGAAGATTATTTCATTTAATGCTAGGGGTTTGGATAATCTGTTAAAAAGGAAGGGATTCTTAAATTGGTTAAGAAGGAGGATCCTGATTTTCTTTTTCTTCAAGAAACTAAATTAGAAAGGATTGAGGTTTCTATGTGTAGAGCTTTGTGGAATTCAGATGATTTTGGTTGGGTAATGGAAAATTCAGTGGGTAATTCAGGTGGTTTATTGTAAATATAGAATAAGAAGAGGTTTGTTAAAAATAGTGTGTTAGAGAAAGATGGTTTTATTCGGATTTTTGGAGAACGGGTTCAAGAGAAATTAAAGTGCAATTTTGTTAATGTATATGCTCCATGTAAGAGGAAAAGGAAGGTATTATTGTGGAGTGAGATTGGTAAATTAGTATTGGATTGGGGGAGGGGGGGTAGATGGTTGTTAGCTGGGGATTTTAATTCCATACGGAGTTTGGCAAAGAGAAAGGGTAGGATGGGAGAGACGTTGGATATGAATGATTTTAATGAATTTATTGAAGGCACTGGGTTGGTTGATATTAGTTTAATGAATAAAAAGTTCACATGATATAGACCGAATGGAACTTCAATGAGTAGGATTGATAGAGTGTTATTATCTGTTGATATGAGTTTATTAAGTACAGATTGGACTCAAGTTGGTGTTAAAAGATCAATTTCAGATCATTGTGCAATTATTCTGAAGTCACAAAAAATAGATTGGGGACCAAAGCCTTTTTAGGTACTTGATGCTTGTTGACAACATCCAGATTTAAGAGGTTTTTTATGGATAATAGATGGAAGGCGATGAAGGTCGAAGGCTAGGCGGCATTTAGATGCAAGTAGAAGCTGAAATTACTAAAAGAGGAATTGAGAAGTTGGAATATAAGTGTTTTTGGCAATGTGGAAGCTCCATTAGAAAATTTGTCAATGTAGATTGAATTGCTAGATAAAAAAAAGTGAGAAGGTTGAGTTGAATGTGAGTGAGGTGGAACTTAGAATGGAGGGCTTTCATGAGTTGTGGGATATTTTGAAGAAGAGAGAGGTCGTTTGGAAACAAAAATCTCGAAATGCTTGGGTCCACCTTAGGGATGCAAATACGAGTTGTTTTCATAGGTGTGTTCATGCAAGAAGGGCACAAAATGCAATATCAAGTGTATTGTGCGATGAAGGTTGGGTGGAAGAGCCAAATTTAGTGAAAGAGGAGGCTGTTAAGTATTTTAGTATGTTGTTTCAAAATGAACAATGGAGATGACCAGTAATGAGTGGGATTCAATCCAAACGCATTTTGATTACACAAAGGGAGTGGCTGGAAAGGTCTTTTTCCATTGAGGAGATTGAAGAAGCATTGTGTAGGTGTTATGGGTCGAAGGCACCAAGAACAGATGGATTTAATTTTAATTTTATAAAGTTTGCTTGCGGCACATTGAAGGATGATTTTGTAAATTTTATGATGGAGTTTCATCAACATGGGAGGTTAGTCAAAAGCCTAAATTCTTCATTTTTAGCATTAATACCTAAAAAATTAAATCCAATGCACTTTAAGGAGTATCAGCCTATCAGTTTAATTGGTTGTTTGTACAAGCTATTAGCAAAGGTTTTGGAAAATCGGTTGAAAATGGTAATGGAGAACATTATTAGTGATTCGTAGTCTGCTTTTTTCAAGGACGAAAATTAATAGATAGTGTGTTGATTTTGAATGAGGTTGTGGATGAGGTGAAGAGAAGGAAATAGGAAAGCTTTATATTTAAGGCTGACTTTGAGAAAGCTTATGACTGTGTTGATTGGTCTTTTCTTGATTGAATGATGGATAGAATGGGTTTTGGGATTAAATGGAGAAAGTGGATTCATAAGTGTCTTTCCACAACTCAGCTTTCTATTTTAATTAATGGACACCCGACTAAGGAATTTTTGGTGACCAAATGTCTTTGTCAAGAGGATCCTTTGTCTCCTTTTTTGTTTTTGTTAGTTGGTGAAAGGTTGTGTGGCCTTGTGAAAAATGCTATGGATGAGGGAATTTTGAGAGGAGTGGAAGTTGAGAGTGGTGGTATGGTTTTGTCTTTATTACAATTTGTTGATGATACTATTTTTTGTGGGGAAGGCAAATGTAGAAAAGTTGGGAGTAGTGAAGGCAATTCTGCATTGGTTTGAATTGATTTCTAGGTTACGTATAAATTTTCATAAGAGCCATTTGTATGGATTTAATGTTTTAGAAGGGTGGTTAAAAGGTGCAGCTGATGTTTTATATTGTGGAATAGGCAAGGTGCCTTTTATTTTCCTCAAGTTACCAGTTGGAGGGAGTTCGGGGAGGGAAAAATTTTGGGAATTTGTGTTGGACCGTTTTCGAGTTAAGCTTGTCACTTGGAAAAGCCCTTTGTTGTCCTTTGGAGGTTGGATCACCTTAATCAACTTGATACTTTCTACTCTTCCTATTTTTTATTTGTCATTATTTAAGATTCCTAACTTTGTTCTTCATGAGTTGATTAAAATTCAAAGGAACTTTTTTTGGGGGGTGCTAGTTTGGAAAGAAAAAATTGTATGGATTAGTTGGGCTAATATGTGTGTGGATAAGGAGTGAGAGGGGCTAGGAGTGGTAGATTTGGAGAGGAGGAATTGGGCATTATTGGGTAAATGGTGGTTTCGGTTAGGTGATGGAACAGAGGATTTATGGAAGAAAGTGATTTGGGAGAAGTATTATGGGGGTAGGAACGAGGTTGATATTCTTGCTTTTTGATCTTTAAGTATGTCTTGTGTGTGGAGGGATATTGTCAGTATTGGTAATGGGTCTGAAAGGTTGCAATTAATGTTAGCAAAGGGTTTCAAATGGGAAGTTGGGGATGGAAGTTTTGTGAATTTTTTGGGTGATAAGTGAGTGGGAGATAAATCTTTAAAAACTTTATTTTCCAAGTTATTTGCGTTAGCAATAAATAGGGAGGGGTTGGTGAAGAGTATGGGTTTAAGGAGTGGGGATAATTGGGTATGGGAGTGTAGAAGGAGACCTTGTTGTGTGGGAAGGTTAGGCAGTGAGGAGGAAAAGTTTAGGGAATTGATTAATGGTGTTAAGGTGAGATCGAGTAGAGTTGATTCTTGGAGATGGGTTCATAGTTGTGATGGTTTATATTCTATGAAAGCTGCCTATGTTTTCTTAACACCTTCTAATTGTATTCTTGATAGGAAATGGACTAGGATTATTTGGTGTAAGTCTCCTAAATTAAGTATATTTGGGTGGAGGTTATTTTTGAATAGGTTGGCAACAAAGGAGAATTTGCAGAGGAGAGGGGTTTTATTAGAAGGGTATGTTGGTTATGAGTTTTGTAAAGACCAGGAGGAGAAGCTTCACCATATTTTTTGTGAGTGTTAGGGGACATGATTTGTGTGGATGCAAGTTTTGAGCTGGTGGGGTTTGCAAGGTGTTTTGCCAAATGACATTTTTGGGATGGCAGAATCTGTGCTGCTTGGTATAGGTGGGGGATGTGTGCAAGAATTGGGAGCTTTCATCTTTTTAGTTGTTGCTTGGTTTCTTTGGTGGTGGAGGAATATAAAAGTGTTTCGAACAAATTTGAGGTCTGAGGTGGTAATGTTGGAATTAATTCAGAATAAATATTTTTTATGGTTAAAAAATAAAGAGAATGGTTGTGTGTTCACTTATCAAGACTGGGTATCATGGACTGTAAAGAAGCTATTGTTCAACATTGCAATAATTTGAGAAGATACAAGTTGCAAAATAAAGCTATGTAATGATTTTATTTCTTATGTTTCTGTAAAAGGACCATATTTGAGCTTTGGTGTTAGAGTTGTATTGTGATTTGGAGTATTCCTTATACTCCTTCAATAATATTTTTTTGTTGGTTTTGTTGATAAAAAAAAAAATATCCATACAATGGTAATGTTAGCTAACAAAGGAAAAAATTATTCATTTCGATTATAAAAATTAAAATCATAGTAATGTAATGGAACATATTTTAGGCAAAAATAAATGAGTATTTATAGGGCGATTTTTTGTTCTGTTACAATTTAAGGGTATATTACTATAGAACATATGGCCCACTTATAAGGCCCACGAAATTTGTCAAAACATATTGTCCATGTTGGCAACACAGATAGCAAGGATTTGGCAACGTGGCAATCACATAGCAAATGGCAATTGGTGATAGAATCATATGGTTTAGCCCTCATTTTGAATTTATTTTCATTTACGAAAAAACCCTTCTTAAGCCCCCAAATTTAACCCAAGATTGCATTTAAGCCCCTTTAACTAAAAATGAAGCATAAAAGCCTTCCAATTCTAGAAATGATGCAAAGAAAGCCTTCTCATGCATGGGTGCTTGATAAGTTGAATTTGTATACATATTAATATGGAATTGTTGCCTTGATGTTATTGATATTTGGATGAGTTTTATGAGATTTTATTGAGTTTTACAGGGTTTTCATTCTTTGAGCAGAAAAGGACTTGAATGCATAAAATAGGAGTTTTTGAGATTAATTGAACATCTTTTGAAAGTTGAGGGACTGAATTGCAGGAAGAAGGGCGCCTCTTTGGGACTTCAATGAATGAATCTTGAGGTTTGGGATCTAAGTGCTCATCGTCTGAAAGCTAGAGGACCTGATCTATTATTTCACCATTGAAGAAATTGCAAAAGGAGTCGTCAA